TTCAAACACTCAGCCCTTTAGCAGGGAGATTTGTGCTGGGATGCGGGTGCGATTCACACAGCAGATTCTGTTGGCTTAGGCACATGCGTTCCACCCCAGGACCACAAAATAAGAGGCATGCTGAAGAGAACGCTGGCCGGGGAGTGGACGGTGCTGCAGCCCCGTACTTCAGGTTTAATTAGGTGCACGAGTTTTGAGCAAATATTTGAAACTTGATAATTTATTGTGTTTCAGGCTATAAATGAAGACTTTGGTCTAGGCTGGTTTAAGTCATACTGAGTAATAATAGCCATCGCCCCACTCTGATTTCCTTGGTAAAGAGTCTAAATACTACATAGTCCATAACTTCTTCGGATTATGCCTTAGTCCCTGAAGATGTCTAACTCCTGTGTAAATTAGATTTATGTGATGATGGGACGTCTGTTTAGTTTTTTAGTTTTATAGCACCAAATCATGTGTGTTCAGCTTATATCTGACCAATGGCTTCTATAAAATGCTGATCTAAATGATAGAGAAAGGCCATTATTAGTCTTAAAATTCAGCTGCTGGCTTATCTACCCATGTGTTCACTTCATGATTTGAGACACAATTGGCACGTTTGCAATTCAGTTACATCATTATTCTTTCCCAAGTGTGATGCCCTTCCTACATGTGTTCACCAGCACAAGTCAAGATTAGCGCCCTTCAGTTGAAGCGACAGATTAAAGTGTAAACAGTGGTAGAATTGCCCGCTTCCTGGGGTTTTGTTTAAAAAGTCAAATATCGTGCGTACATACATTTTACTTGTTCAATGTGCCCTGCCACCGTAGCTCAGAAGAGATTAAAGCAGAAAAATACCCTACATACATCCAAAGCACAACCCTGAGGTTGTGTGTAAGCTACTGCGCTGGCATGAATGTGGTTTAATTCTTGGCACAGACGGCTTGCTGGAGAATTACAATATGTTGGCATTGGTCTCCAGGTCTCATTGTTCCAGCCCAGGGAGTCAGTCTTAAGAGGGTTTGGCACCAGAGGGAAACGGAGAGAGAGAGTTACAGCGAATGAGCGGGCCCTAAAGAGGCAGGATGCTGCCGCTGCCATAACAATGGCTGGCATTCTCGGGGGTTCTCTGGTGGGGACTGCCATAGGCAGCCATGTGAGGAAGCCAGTGTGAGCCAGAGAGAAGAGAAAAGCCAGCCAGTGTGTCTAACGGCTGCGGATGGCGGAAAGAAGCAGAAGTGATTTCATAGACGCACTTAATGTGTGGGCAGACGATGGCCGTTTCCTACGCTCTAATGTTCCGTGGTTTATTTTTTCACATTTATTTTACATTATTTTTTAACATGCATGTGTTAGTTTTCTTCTAAAAAGACAAATCCTTGAAGGAAGAGCCCTGGATTCATAGTCTACCTGTTGTGCTTTGGAGTATCTGATTTGGCAAAGCTGAGTGGCCTCAGCTACAACATGGAACGGAATACCTACACACACACTGCCGTCAAAGGTGTCATGACTGACAGGGCTCTTTGAGCTGAGACATTGTGCCAGAGCCGCTGTTGATTCTAACAATGACTGTATTTGAGGGAATAGTGAGTTTTGAGGGTAACCCTGAAACCAGTGCTCAGGAGAATGAAGTCCTAAGTGTTTTAAGATAGGACATGCACACCAGGCATGGTGGCGCACGCCTTTAATCCCAGGGCTGGGGAGGCAGAGGCAGGCGGATCTCTGCGAGTTGGAGCCAGCCTGGTCTACATAGTGAGACCCTATCCAATAAATAAATAAATAAACCAAGCAAACAAACAAAACCCATGAAAAAAAAAAACAGTTCAGAACTTGAAGCTTACTAATGCTGCAAAGAGTCATGAGCCACAGTCACAGCATCCAATCGACTGTGTGTCTTTAAAAGTGAACCTCCTTTTTGAAGAGGAAATATTGCATATTGAGCCACTATAACTTTTCCCACCGTAAATAGTGAATGGTACTTACGGAGCTGTGGTAGATATCCCTTTATTGAATTCACACTTGAGAAAACAGCTGCTTGTAAATATTGCGATTTTGCCATTTTGTCTTTTCTGTTTCTAATCATAGATTTCCTTACTGTTCTCTGAGAAACTCCGTCACTCTGGAGGGCACCTGACTGTCCCCACGACTGGACGCCATCCCATAGCATGACTATAGGAACGGCCTGTGAGGGCATGAGACCATGGCAGGAAGTGCACTGTGGGAAGTAGACTTTCCGGCCCTATTTATGTGACAGAAATTCAGGCAGCGAGCTGAAAGTGAAGGCTGGGTGTACAGAACCCACCCCTCACAGCTACTCCAGGTAGATACTGTCATAGATAGTTGACAATCTGGTTTGCTACTCACTCATAGCCCAGGAGTCTTCTGGTTTATAAATAAAAGGGGTAATTTAATTGTACATGCTCATAGGATTTTTTAAACCATTCAGTGCAAACTCCATAGTGCAAAATCATATAATTAGATTAAGTTCTGATGCTAATGAAAAATCTAGCCTTTAATCCCATAGTTAATACCCATGCAAACACATTATTCTGTAAAGTTCAATTTATTCTTTGCAATTTTTACTTTAGTGGAGTTCCGAGTGGCCCCTGGAATCTGGAGCTTCCCCACAGAGGAAGTGAGGGTGTGTCTGTCTGTGTGAGCATGTGTGTGCGTGACTGAAACCACAGGCTGAGATTTGCATTAAGCTTCACAGTGGCCGAGTCCTGTGTTTCCCTAAGCTTTGGTTTCTTAACAGGTGAATATCAATCTTTACCTGCCATGAGAAGTTTGCCATGCCACACGGAAGGGGCTTTTTCTTCCCTTCCCCCCTGTCTCCCTCCCATCCTCCCTTCATCTCTCCATCCATCCATCCCCCCCCCTTCATCCATCCATTCGTCCCTCCCTCCTGTATGCTAAGAATCAACTTGAACAGCTCTCTGAAAGCCTTCTATCTTAAGGCTTGTTAATAAGGACGCCAAGAGTGTTCTGCAGGTTCCACAAGTCTGGCTGCTGTTTCTTTAACTCTGCAACTTAGACAGAAGACTTCTGTCCCTTTATGAGGCGGCGACAGTAGATATTTTGTCTCGCTGCAAGGGAAAGGCATTGCCAGGGCCCTGGCAGACAATAGCCTTAAAAGTAAAAAGGTCTCTTTCTGGAGCAGGGAGGCTCGCGGGCCATTGTTAGTCCACAGTGGATTTCTCTTGCGGCTTTCCTGCTCTGCAGAGGTTTGTTAGCTTTTAATGACTGACAGAACTCTCTTACAAATGCCATACTGGCCATGCCCTGTTTACACGCTACTCAGGCAATTTTTTTTTGAGCTCTGAATAAAGAAACAGTGGTGTTTGTTTGACCTACTCTGATAAGGTTTAAGAACTGATTTTCCCAGTGCTCACTGGGAATGCAGACACACTGAAGTTTAGAGCAGAAGGGTTTTCAACTTACTTTAGACATCACGATGCGAGTGGAAACACCGACTACAGCCCCGGTCTGCACTCTGGCTGACCACAGCGATGCTATTGTCACTTCCAAAAGGTGAGATAAAAAAAAAAAAAAAAAAAAAAAAAACAGGGCTGAATATTTTAGGGAAATGTACAAGGAAGTTCATTCCTTCACAATGAAAATTAGAAATGGGTATTTCGTGACAAAGAGAAATATATATATTGTAGCCACGTAGCATGCATGGTACATATACCTATATATGGACCGGATTTAAAACAATAACTGTTATCTTTTGTCATTTAAATTCCACCTATCGTTTTCAATATCTCAGAAATCTTCTGTACTTAACTTCTGCCTCTCTGAAACCCCCAGGACAGGCGGTCTCTCTGATAAGTTAGCAAGTCATCCCTTTCTGTTCCTCCTGGGGGGGGCCAATAATCATTGCAACAAACGGAAATGCGTGATGGTGCAGACAGCAACATCTGTCTAAGACCCAGGATGACGGGTGTAGCGCTGTCATTTAGATGAGACACGGGGCACATAGGGCACACGGGGCACACTGACCTTCTGGGAGTGTGAGTGCTTGTTTTGTTTTCTAACCGAACCCAAGGCTGACTGTAGGTCTGGAATGTTTTGTCACTGTGGGCTCTGTCACTGCATCCCCGGCCAGACAGGAACGAACGTAGAGCTCCATTGTGTGGACCTGAGTCTAATGTGCGCTGCTTTTATCACAGTTGTATTTACTTATAGCGAAGGCTCAGGACAAAAGGGGAGGGCCGAGCCAGGGATCTACAAACACAAACCATGCTCTGTAACTCGTGACCTTGCTCTCGAAAATGTGTCCGTCCTGTCCCAACCTGGGGCATTTGCAAAAAGCGTGATACAAATCTGAACTAAGCAAATAATGCGTTTCCATTAGAGACACCACTCGCTTCACCCGATTTGGCCATCTTTGAACAGCGCCTTTTATGTCAACCTTTTTGTTTGTTTGCTTGCTTTTTATTTATTATTTTTCCAGTGTTCACTGTGTATGCACAAATCTTGCCACGGCGCGGTGGTTGCCACCACACAATGTTACACATATTATAAAGTGCACGGAATTGTAAACACAGAGGGACGTAATTACATGCAGCAGGTTTAAGGGCTCATTCTTTGCCTCTTTTTTTTTCACTCCGCATTTTATCAACATAATTATTTTGTGACTACAGACTAACACTCTGAAATTGACAAGCATCCATTATAGCAAGAATTTGTCCACCAAATTTAAAACAATGTGCTGTGGGTTCGCACAAGCCCATTATCATAAAGAATTAGCACGGCTTTGTTCTGCAAGGGGAAAAAGCTAATGATTTCGAAACAGCAGGTGACCAAACACACACGCACATACTCACACGCGCGCACACACACACACACACACACACTCTCTCTCTTTTAACTCCCTCTTATCAGTTTGTTGATGAAGTCATTATGAACTGGGGCCAGGACCGCAATGGCCTTATTCTTAGCAGACAGGTTTTCATGAGCCCGCTGCTAAGAGTGCTGCCTGTTTGCTTATAGCTGTCTTTTATTTTTTCTTTACTTAGATACCCCCAGTATTGAAAAGCTGCTCTCGAAGGACTGGAAAGACAAGCTCCTGGCAATGGGATCAGGGAACTTCGGAGAAATAAAAGGTAGGAAGTATGAGCTGCTTTGATCTGGAATGCTCAGAAATGAAGCTGCTGTTTGTAAGGCTTAGCATTTCTGGAGTACTTCTATCCCAGGCCCTCTGCTTCCTGCACACTCCCCGGCAGGCCTTCCTACTAGCTGTGAGTAGACCCAGTCTCTCTGGTGTTCTCCGTGCACTGTGTAGGATCAAGGAGGGGGTTTTGGTTTTCTTGTCTTAACAGCACAAAACCACTCTCTCTGTGGCTTTACTCTCCTCCTCCTCCTCTTTGACTTGCACGACTTATTTCAAAGGTAAGAATACATCAACAGCATAGTGAGGTTAGAAATTACAGCTCATATTCTATGTCTGAAGTATGCATACTTAGAGTGGACAGCTGGAGCCCATCATGATGAGCAAGGCAGACGAAGTCCAAGGGTGGTTCCAGTCAGTGTCTACCACAGTTTTGAGCTTATTGGAGTCAGCAATTACAACTAATAAAAGCTCTCTGTGGACTTCAGAAAACATTGAATATTCATATGTTAACAAACTTCCAGTAACAAGGGAGCAGATTTAATTTTCTCATGTAGAAATGGAAGCAGATGACCCTTTCAGTTGGTTCTAGAGCAGCACTTCTCAGAGGATGGGGCAGCCCACTGCACCCTGTTGCTGCCAGCGTGGTACTGGTAGTCGTAAATTTTAAAGCAATATTAACTTTGAGAATGTCAAGACACTCGGTCATCAACAGCATTACATCTGCTTATGAACTGTGGTGCTTATCTTTAACAGGGGCTAAAATAAAGTTCAAACATCTACCAATTAATATCAGTATATACATATATACATATAAGCACATGTCTAGTCTAAGTGACTTTGTGGTGTATGAATCAAAATGACAGTCTCTTCTGTAAGGCTCTGATCCTTCCATCCTTCCAAGTATCCAGGAGTAAAGCAAAACATTTGTCTATATATATATATATATATATATATATATATATGTGTGTGTGTGTGTGTGTGTGTGTGTGTATACATATATACACATACACATATATAGATAGAAATATACATATATATATACTGATATTAATTTTAGATGTCTGAAATTTACATTTAGGACCTGTTGAAAATAAACTTCACAGTTCATAAGCAAACTCTTTTTTCATATCTGACTGTTTGGAAAGTTCCAGAAAAACCATTTGACTGATTATTTACTTGTTCATCAGTCATTAGAAGCTGCATCTCTTCTGGCTTCAGAGGCTGAGAATGGGTAGCGAGATGAGGAAGAATTCAACAAGTTTGATGACCAGCATCTATCTGGAAGGAAATTGAAATGAACAATTAGCATTTCTCAGAGCTTTCCAGAACTTAAGGGGAACACAAAGGGACGCTTAACACCCTGGGATATAAAGCCTTTCACCTTTTTGATGGATTTTTACGTATGACCCCCGAGGTGAAGGATGTACAGTCCCTACCTCTGTCTTCCACTACTGACCTCAACCACCCAGAGTGGAGGCAGAGGAGTGCCTGCTTCAAGCCTTGCAATCCAGTTCCTCCTTCTCTTCCCTCACAAGTCAGACTTGAAAGCCCTGACAGCAGTGATGCTAAGCTTAGATAGAGGCTCCTTGCTGTCCTTTGAGCCTAGCCTGGGGGCTGCTTTAGGATGCTCCAGTATAATCGCAAAAGAAGTTTCTGTCTTTAATTTCGAGTTTTTAAAGCTTTGCATTTAGAGACCAAGTTCAGTTATTGTCCTCTGGTTTTGTTAAAAAAAGAAGAAGAAGAAAACTGTTTCCAGAAGCATTTTTGAAAGCAACTGTGTGTCTTTTTTTCTGCGAGGGGGGGGGGGAGATGGTTATTAGGTTTTCGGCTCAGGTTTCCCAGTGAAGTGGGGAAAACAGCATTGTGTTGACCATGTGTGACAGTCACAATTGCAGGTCATTGTTCATGGGTGCAGAGGCTACAATAGAAGACTGCCTCTGGGGGTAAATGAATTGGGGGGTCAGTGCCCAGGAATGTGGTTTCTTGCCACCTCAGAAGAAGTCAGAGAACAATGGCTGCCTTGTTTCTGCAACTGTTTTAACCTAGGCAGAGGAAGGTGTGAGACTCACACATTTGTCTACTGTTTCTGGCTGGGAGGCCAAAGGGTTGGGCTTTGCATGTTATTTCAAAATAGGAAAACATGAATGTGCTGAATGACTGGGTTTGGCCATGATCATTTTAAATAATAGATTAGAATAGAACTTTCATGTATGTCAGGTTGGTGTAGCCAGCTCCACAGCAGTTACTGCATCTTAGATGGGGAGAAGGGCTTTCTGCTTATCTTGGCCAGTTTTATTTAAATTTTATTGACTCTCAGATAAAAGGAATCAGAGAGAGGGAGGGGAGAAGGGGACAGAGACAGAGAGACAGAGACAGAGAGACAGAGAGAGATTGAAGAAGAGATATGAAGAGATATGAGAAGGTGTTGGGGACTGAAGCAGGAAGGGGATAGGGATTGTTGACTGAGGTTTCTTTCCTGCCCGGTTCCTGCAGCCATTAAGTGTTGGTAGAGAGGCTGCTTGTTGGTCCCCGTCTGCCTGGCTAGCTTAGACCAAAATAATCCTACAGGAATTGTATTAATTAAATCACTGCTTGGCCCATTAGCTCTAGTTTCTTATTGGCTAACTTGTACATCTTAATTTAACCCATTTCTATTAATCTCTGTATCCTCACATGGCTGTGGCTTACCAGCTAAAGTTATGACATGTCTGACTCTGGTGGTAGCTCCATGGCTTCCCTAACTCTGCCTTGTTCCTTTCATGCTATAGGCCAAGCCAGGTTTCTTTATTCATTAACCAATAAAATCAACACATAGACAGAAGGAACTCCCACACCAGTTAAGTCCCAAAGAAATCACAGAGAGGCCTACTTTAATCATAAGCTGATTGCCCCAGTAGCTCAGGCTTCTTATTAATTAATTCTTATAACTTACATTAGTCCATAATTCTTGTCTGTGTTAGCCACATGGTTTGGTACCTTACTTGTCGAGGCAGCCACATCTTGCTTCCTCTGCATCTGGGTCACAACTGCAGACTGCACTTGCGTCTTCCCAGCATTCTCGTTGCCCCACCTCTACTTCCTTCCTGGTCACCCTGCCTATATTTCCTGCCTGCCTACTGCCTATCAGCATTTTATTAAAAATAATACAAGTGACAGGATAAAAGACCATTGTCCCACAGCACTTCCCCCCCCCATTTTTAAACAAGAACTGTGAATCTAATATCCTTTGTTTAGCTTTTCTCTTGACTGTTATCCATAACAACTTGTAACCAACATTCTTAGCAAAGGAAAATATCCATAGGTTTTTTTTTTTGTTTTTGTTTTTTTTTTTTTGGAATGTGGGCATTGTTTTCCAGGCTATTTCCTGCTGATTTGGGCTGCTGATAACCCTATCTCAAGTAAAACAAAGCATGAGGTGGGTTGAATGCATAGGGCCAAAAGGACAGAAAGGAAGGCTGATGCCATATGTAGCTAATATTGCAGTGAATTTATGGGGCCATGACCTCCTGCAGCAATGAAATACCCATGTCAACATTCCTGCAGTCCCAAAAACTCATGTTTCTGTGAAAGATATTATAAAATATTATAAATGAAGGTCACCAGCCATTCAGGCTGTACAGAACACAAAACAACTAACAAACCTTCAGAGTTACTAATAGCCTTGCCTTTAAAATAGTTAACCGAGAAACCCATATGGGTTAAACAGTGGCCTTTAACAGAAGACAAACTGCAAGCTTTAGAGCAATTAGATGCTCACCATATTGAAGAACCAACCAGCCCTTGAAATTCACCCTGTATTTGTTGTTAAAAAGAAATCTGGAAAATGGAGAATGGCAATAGATCTAAGAGCTGTCAACAAGGTTATTCAGCCTATGGGCCCTCTACAGTCTGGAATTCCTTTGCCTTCTCTATTAAGAAAAGGATGGCCTCTTAATAGTTATTGATTTAAAGGATTGTTTCTTCACTATATCTTTACAAAAAAAGGGTCGAGAAAAATTTGATTTCGCAGTGCCTACTAGGAGGTACCAGTGGACCATCCTCCTGCAGGGAATGTTCAATAGTCTCACCCTATGCCAATACTTTGTAAATCAGCCATTGGAAATAATACGTAAGCAATTTCCTAATTCTATATTTTATCATTACATGGGTGACATTTTGTTATCTGACTTAAATGCAGATAATTTAGAAAGAATGTTTGAAGAAGTAAAAAAGTTTTGCCTAAATGGGGATTACAAATTGCTCCTGAAAAAATACAAAGAGAAGATTCTGTCAATTACTTAGGGTACAAAATAGGTTTACAGAAAATTAGAACACAAAAGGCACAAATTAGGAGAGACTGATTGTAGACTCTTAATGACTTTCAAAGATTGTTAGGAGATAGGGAATGCTTGTAGATTTAATACTGTAGCCAAGTCTGTGCTGTTTTGTTCAGTAATTTAGCTGTACAGTGCTGACCCATAAAATACTTTGCAGGTATTTGGACAAATTAGTAGAGTTGCAACTTGGAGAAGTTTATGAAAAGTGCTTCTCACTATAAGTATTCAAAAAGAGTAAGCGGGGAACTTTTCCCATATGATACATTGGCTGTCCATAAGTAATTGTATTTAGATTCTATCTCACTTTATTTTTCTCAAGAAACTGTTAGTAAATGTTGCTGGCCTTTGAGAGAATAAAGGTACTCATTTCTTGCTTTTACATTTATTTTACTATGTGTGCAAGTGCTTGCAGAAATGTGCGCAAGCATCTGCACCCATGGTTCTGTGTAGGCCATAGATTTGTAGATGTCAGTTCTCTCCTTCCATCAAGTAGGCTCTTGGGCCCAGGCTTCGCAGTAAGTGCATTTACCCACAGAGCCTTGGCACTGACCCCTCATTTTCCCTTTTTAAAACACCAGAACATTTTGCCTGGTATCATACCATTTTATACACTGGCACTTCAGAGATGTGACACATTCAGGTTTTTAATATATAGTAGAATTAACCCTCTCATGCA